TATATATATATATATATATATATATATATATATTAGGGCTCAACGAATACCTTAAAAGAGAGCCCCCTCCCTCAAACAGGGCACCATAACTTACCTTTGGATGCCCAACTCTGTTTGGGGTTTCCTCTCTCCTTCTGGAGTCGCTCCAACGCTAAAGACAATCAGAAAAGAGGGGGGGGACCTCCCTCTGATAGCGATAGAAATATAAAAAGAGGTGGGGGCCCCTCTTCTTCTTTATATCTTCTTAAAGGTGCCTTCTTTTGCAAGCAAGCTAAAGGAGACATAATCAAGAGGGGTCCCCCGTTTCAAAGAGGGGGGGCCCCTCTTCCTGTTTGTGAGTTCTTAGGGTGCCTTCTTTGGAACGCCCTTTGATGGGGGTAGCCCAGGTTTAGAGAGGGCTGGCTTTGCAGGGACAAGAGTCTTTGGGGCCAGCGCAGGTTTTGCTGCTGCAGCACTTTTAGCGAGAACAGGTAACGGCTTCGAAGGAATAACGGGCTTCGCTAGCCCAGGCTTCGCTAGCCCAGGCTTAGCAGCTAGCACTGGCTTAGCAAGAGCGGGCTTAACTAAGGCAGGCTTGCCGGCTGGGGTTGTTGGTTTGGGGGCTGCTGCTCCTGCTGCTCCTGCTGCTGCGGCGGGCTTGGCAGGGGCCCCAAGAGGAGGCTTAGGGGCCTCCCCTGGCTTGCCTAGGGTCTTTGCATCGCTCTTAGGGCCCCCAGCATCTTTAGCTGCCTTTAAGGGGGCCCCCGCCCCTCCTGGTTTTGGGGGTGCAGAAGGGGCCCCAGGCAGCTTCGCATCCTTACCGGGGGGCCCTGAAGGAGCAGCGGGAGCCCCCTCTTTCTTGGGGTCCTTTGCTGCAGGTAACCCCGGCTTAGAGGCAGGTAAGGCGCCCCCCTTTGCTGGGAGGCCTGGCTTAGAGAGGGGGGCCTTCTCACCTGGCCCAGCAGCAGCAGCAGCAGGAGTAGCGGGTTTGGCTGCCGGTAGCCCCGGCTTGCTGCTTCCCTCAGGGGGCCCACCCCCGGGCTTAGGAGGAAGCCCAGGCTTCCCTAAGGGGGCCCCCACCCCCGGCTTAGGGGCCCCCGGAGGTGAGGCCCCTGCCCCCACCTTCGGCAGATCTCCTTTACTTGGGGGGCCTCCCGGCTTAGGGAGCTCAGGTTTCTTTGCTGGTGCTGCTGCTGTTGCTGCTGCTGCTGGCTTGGGCAGGTCCCCTGGCTTGGCGCCTAGAGGAGGTTTAGGGAGATCGGGTTTTGCTGCTGCTGCTGCAGCTGCAGGAGCAGCAGCAGGTGCCCCAGCCTTTGCTGCTCCCGCAGGCTTAGGGAGCTCTGGCTTTGCAGTTGCAGGCAGCCCAGGCTTAGAGACAGGTAGTGAGGGCTTAGGAAGCTCAGGTTTAGATACAGGTAATGAGGGCTTGGGCAGCTCAGGCTTAGAGACAGCTACTGAGGGCTTAGGCAGCTCGGGTTTAGAGACAGCTCCTGCGGGCTTAGGCAGCTCAGGCTTAGAGACAGCTCCTGAGGGCTTAGGCAGCTCGGGCTTAGAGCTGGGGCCGCTGCTGGGCTTAGACAGGCCCGCAGATGCAGTTGCTGCTGTCTTGGAAGCCTCTTCTTTCTTCTTACCACCGTCTGTACACAAGACAAAACGTAATAGGCATACTTGTTTACATACATACTTACTTATTTATATTTATGTTTATTTATTTATTTATTTATTCGTAGCATATAAATTTACATAAATGCATGCATTTATTTGTATTTATATCACTGCTTACGTACTTAATGCGTATTCAATGCATTATCATACAGGTATGCACACAAGCAAACGAACATAGAAACAAATATATATAAATATAAATATAAATATAAATATATATATATATATATACATGTATTAACATATGCATGCTTTTTAAAAAACACATATACATGTACTATATAAATCTATATATATATATATATATATATATATATATAATCTGCATGCATGCATGCATGCATGCATGCAGACGACCCAGATAAGGTGTTTGCTGAGGGCTGCTCACCCCCCACAACTTTCGCTCCGCTGCTTTTAGCTTGAGCTGGCAGCAGCGCGTTGCTGCAGAGACAGCAGCAGAGACAGAGACAGCAACAAAGATAGAAACATCTTGAGGTGGTAGGGGTCTGTAAAAGGAGACAGTAATAAGAGACAGACAGCAGCTGTCTCCGCTCCCCCCAAACACTTACACAGGCAAAGGCGCAATGGAGACAACTATTGAACCTGTTCATACACCGCAGCAAACAGCAGCACATACAGCATTCAGACCCTCCCCTCATCGCTAGCTTGCACCCTTGCCTCCCATCTACCTAGCTAGCTACTCAGCCATCTAGCTCGCTAGCTACCCAGCTATCCAGTTAGGCTGCATAGCTAGCTACCCAGCAAGCTAGCTAGTTAGCTAGCTAGTTAGCTATTTAGCTAGCTAGTTAGTTATTTAGCTAGCTAGCTACCTAGCAGCAAGCAGCACATACCTAAGACAGTTCCTCTGGCGTCTTTGATTTGCCTGCAGCAGCACAACGCAACAAAGAGACAGGGAGCGGCTTTAAACGCTATAAGAGAACACCCATTGGCCCCCACCTCTTCCTAAGCTAGCTGGCTAGCTAGCTGCCTAGCTAGCCACCCACCTAGCTAGCTTCCTAGCTAGCTAGCTTACCATGGGGCCCCCTTTTTCAGGGTTTCTGAGTCTGTCATCATTTTGCTGGCCGTCCCAAGCCCCGTCGGCTGCAATGCATGCAGAGACAGCAGCAAAGCAGCAGCAGAAGGGTGACACTCTCAGCAACACAGCAGCAGCAACAACAACAACAGCAACCGTAACAACAGCAGCAGCAGTAGCAGCAGCAACAGCAGCAGCAACAACAACAGCAACAGCAACAACAGCAACAGCAACCGTAACAACAACAACAGCAGCAGCAGCAACAACAGCAGCAGCAGTAACAACAGCGGAAGCAGCAAGAACAACAAGAATAAGAAAGATAAGAGAGACTGAAGGCAACTCACTGATTTGCTATCATAAATATCAATGCATATTTTTGGGGTTACCCCTGCCTTTTTGGGGGGTAAAGGCGTTAATTCAGACAAAAAATAAACAGAAGCACTTTCTTCCCCAGTCTTCCCCTCGCACTGAACAGACACCCCACACCCCACACCCCACACCACCTCTTCATGCATGCACATTAATCAATCAGCAAACACCAACACCAGCAACACCAGCACCTGCAGCAGCAGCAGTCACTCGGGCACCCTAAAGCCCCAGAAGAGGGGCCCCAATACACTATTCTCTCGGGGGTGTTCAACTGCGTGTTTAACCCTCTTCAGGGGCCCACTAAGGGCCCCCTCATAGTCTTATAAGGGCCCCCGTTAGGGCCCTGCCCCCCTAAAGGCCCTGCCCTCCTAAGTGCCCTGTAAGGGCCCCCTAAAGCCCCCCTTTAAGGGCCCTTTAAGGGCCCCCTAAGGGCCCTTTAAGGGCCCTGTAAGGGCCCGCTTAGAGCCCCCTACGGGCCCCGTAAAGCCTCCCCAAGACCCCTAAGGGCCCCATAGGGTCCCTCTGGGGCCCCCCTAAGGGACCCAGAGGAAGGTGCCTGTGGAGTGGTGTCCGCACCTTGTCAATAACAATACATCTTTCTGACTTCTTTTTTGCTTCTACGGCACTCTCATTATCAAAGCTGCAGAGGAGACAGAGACAGAGACAAAGAGAGACAGATTAAGGCATATATGTACATGTATAAACACATATAGATACATATATATATATATATATATATGCATCCATTGATAGATATCTTTACATACACAAGTACATATATATATATATATACCTTTACATATGTACATCTTTACATATATCTATCTTTATACATATATTATGTATATACATCTTTATACATTTAAATACATAAATAATAAATAAATAAATATATATATATATATATATATATATTTATAACTAACCGAACGACGAGTTTGACCCCAGGACCCTTAGAGAGTGCCGGGCGTTTGAATGCGCGGAGTTCCTCCAGCAAAACAAAAAAGCCCCGCAGCTCTGTATCAGCAGATGCATCTGCTGCTTGCTGCGGCAGCGAAGCCTTAGCTCGAGGTGCTGCTGCTGCTGCTGCTCCCCCTCCTGCTGCTGCTCCACCTCCTGCTGCTGCTGACGATGCGCCTGGGCCGGCTTCTGCACACATGCAGCAGAAGCAACAGCAAATCTAGAGACTGCAGCAGCAGCAACAATAGCAGCAGCAAGTAGCAACCTCTATACAGACAGCAGCAGCAGCAACTCTTAAAGACGCAGCAACAGCAGCATCTAGCCACCGTGACACAGCCTTTATGCAGCAGCAGCTTTCCTTGCAGCAGCAGTTCCTAGATGCTGCTGCAGCAGCAGCTGCTGCTGCCGCTGTTGTCCTTTTTGCTGTTGCTGTTGCTGTTGCTGCTGCTGCTGCTGTTGCTGCTGCTGCTGCTGCATGCGGTGAGAGGTTTGCCTTACTTGTAGCGACGGCCTGTCCCTGTCTTTTTTGCAGCAGCGTAGTAGCAGTTTTCCCCTGCTGCTGCTGCTGCGTGTCTGCTTGTGGGGTTTGAGCTGTCTTGGCAGCTTCGAGAGAAGCAGCAAGTGCAGCATCAAACTTCGTAGCATGCGTAACAGCAGCAGGTGCAGCAGCAAACGGAGTAGGCTGAAGCCAAGGCCCTGATACTTCATACACTGGCATAAAGTGCGGCTCAGGAGGAGGCGGCGGCTGCTGGGGCAGCGCTCGGCGCTCCCCCAGTCGATAGTAGTACAGCGCACCATATAGAGCTGCATGCACCCAAACAGCAGCAGCAGCAGCAGCAGCAGCAGTAGCAAGAGCAGCAGCAGCAGTGGTAGAGGGAGGGTTGTGGGGTGGGTAGCAGCAGGAAGAAGCAGCGCAGCACGAAGCAGCTTCCCCGCAAACTTGCTACAGGCAGCAGCACGCCAGCGTACAGGCAGACAGCAGCAGCAGCAGAAGCAACAGCAGCAGCAACAACAGAAACAGCACCAGCAGCAGCAGAACCAGCAGCAAAGGCAATGGCAGCAACAGCGGCACCAACACCGAATGCAACAGCAAAAAAAGCAACAGCAGCAGCAGCAACAGCAGCAACAACAGCAGCAACAGCAGCAGCAACAGCAGCAGCAAGGACTTACAGCCGAGACGCGGATCAAGGGCTCTACATGGGTACAGATACTCCAACACGCAGTGCAGCACCGTCGCCTTGTCTGCTTCCTGTGTAGCTACGAAACTGCACACACCTGCAGCAGCAACAGCAGCAACAGCAGCAATAGCAGCAATAGCAGCAGCAACAGCAGCAAAACGCAAGCAGAAGCATAACGCATGCAGCAGCAGATCGTAAGCCAACCATCCGCAGCAGAACCCAAAAATGCGCAGTGCGAGCTGTTGCTGTTGCTGCTGCAGTTGCTGCTGCTGCTGCTGCTGCTACTGCTGCTTCTGCTGCCGTTGCCTTGGCATCAGGGAAGCCAAGCAAAGGCTCGACACAGAACGCCCCTGCACCTGTCTGCAGCAGCAGCTGCAGCAGCAGCAGCAGCACCACCAGCAGCAGCGACAACAGCACCACCACCACCACCACCAGCAGCGCCACCACCAGCAGCAGCAGCAACAGCAGCAACAGCAGCAGCAGCAGCAGCTGGATAGTTTGAGTTTACCTGCGAATGCTTGAACGAGGGTATCGATTTGTGCATACATCAAATCAACACGCTGTACAGTGTCTCTGACGGTGTCAGGGTCTCCGCGTATTTCTTCTAACTTAGACTGAAGAGCAGCAGCAGCAGTTTGCGTCTCCTGCAGCTGCCGCCTGTTATCATACATTTCTAGGTGCATATACACCCCAGAAAGCACACGCAGACACACGAACAAAAACAACACAATCAAAGGCAGAGATAAGACATAGACAGAGCACAGCCACATACTGCAGCAACAAAAGCAGTAGCAGCAGCAACAGCAGCAACTGCAGCAGCAGAAACAGAAACAGCACATGCAGCAACTGCAGCAACAAGAAAAGATATAGCAAATGCAAAAGCAACATCAGCAGATGCTGCAATAGAAATAACAGCGGCACCAACAACAACAACAGCAGCGGCAGAAGCAACAACAAGAACAGCAGCAGCAGCAGCAGCAGCAACAGCAGCAGCAGCAGCAGCAGCAGCAGCAGCAGTAAGAAGTACCTTGCTGCAGCCAATAGGCGAATTTTTCTGTTTTTTGTCTCCTTTGTTTTTCTTTCATGTATAACATGAAGTAATGCCTTACCTTGTCTTCAAGCTCATCCAGCACTGCAGCACAGCAGCAAGAATAATATACATATATATATATATATATATATATTATACACCTGATATATATATATATATATATATATAGTCGTCAGGTGTACGTACACCTCACGCATGCCCGTGGCTCGCACTAATTAGTAGAAGAGCTTATTTTTAACAATTTTATTGATGTACAGTTAAAGCTGCTGTCTCTGCAGATCTTTTAGCAATCCTATACACACGCACTTGTCTCTAAGACTTGAGGGTGGGGCCGCAGCTCCGCAGGCGGAGCCGCAGCGCGCTTGTCGTGGGCTCGAGGCTTCATTGCTGCTGGCTGAGGCTGTTAGCATCCTATGAATCCTTATGCAGCAGCAGCAGCAGCAGCAGCAGCGAAAGCAGCAGCAACAGCAACAATAATGGCCGCGGGGGGTAGCCCAGGAAGCGTAGTAAAAGCTGCTGCTGAGATATTAAAGCAGAAGAAGCTGCTGCATTAACTGCTGCAGGTTAGGATAATGCAGACACCCGGTGAGGCGCTGCTGGTGTTGCTGCTGCTGCTGCTTCTGTGCAATGAGTTTGTCGTTAGCGGTCTACTCCCCCTGAATGCAGGGGGAGTTGAAGACAAAAATGAATAAAATGCCTTAAGGGGTATTCAATTTGATTAAAAATTCAAGAAAAAGAGAAAATTAAAACAAAGATGAAGAGGAAACGACAGAAGAAGTCGTAGGGCACCACCTGGGCATATCGGGCTGCGCGTGCTGTTGCTGCTGGTCTGAAGCCAAAAGAAGATATTTATATTAAATAGTTTATTATATTTAAATAAAAAGAAGAAAATAATCTTTATTTTAATCCCTCATGCATGCAATACAAACAAAAAGTTAAGTTCGTAAGCACAACACCGCCAATCAAACAATCGGCGAGGCCGCCAGCTGACTGCTCGATGTTTGTTGTTTAATTGTCTTTGTTTGTTTCTAAAACAAATATATTGAATTTATTTATTAAAAATACAAATAAATATACCCATGTTTCCCTAATTAACCCCTCTTTTCCTCCGCTGCAGCAGCAGCAGCAGCAGCAGCAACACCGCTCATACCGATAAGTAAAGCCGACTGTACAGACACCCCAGTACAGCGTTGGCTTCTGAGGTTCTTCTCTTTCTCTATAAATTAACTAAATAAAATTTGATTTAATTTTATTTCTTCTTTACAATTAAACCCCCTGAAGTTTGTGCTGCTCACAACTTAATACAAATACACGAACGGTGCATAAGAAGGTCTCGGAATATACGAAGGCTGATCTTCGTTCTATGTACACACATTTATTATATATATAAATATATTTATATATATGTATACACATATTTGTATATATATGTTTGTATGTATATATATGTAAATTAATTGTATAGACATATATATACTTAACATGTATACGAGCACCAGTTGCATGTATGCAAGTCGTGCACATGCGCAGTATATATATATATATATATATATATATATATATATATATATATATAT